TATGCCATTTTACACAAACTGAAGCTCTGGCCCTTGGACTTCGGAATAATTTCCATTTGTACCTTGAATTTGGAGGTATCTGTCACCCTCTTAAAATTTAAATTTGAATATGAGGACAAAATTTATATCTCTAATTACTGTTTGCCTGGCTGAGCCATACATTGCATGCATATCATATTACTGGATACTTTAGTGCATATTCATAATTTATCTCTCATGCCGGAAAGCTTGAAAAATAAAAATAAACAACCTTGACTATTGCTTCTTACATAATAAGTTTATAGAAAAAATGATTTGCCAGGTGAACAGAGGTGAATTATAGCCTCGTGACATGGATTAAAGGGTATTATTTCAAGTGAACTGACAAAAGAATTATAGCTATGTATTGTGGTTCCTTACAAGGGAATAAGTATGTATGAGCTACACAGCAAATTAATGTGTTACCCTAATCACAAAAATAAATCACTCATAACAAAAAAATATATTCTTAAATATTAAAACTTGTATTGAATATTTATACTAAATTACAGAAATATATCAATATGTGCATCAATTATTTGATTAAATATATTTCATTTGTTATTACAGGGAAGCAAAGAAGAGGATTTTTTCTATAGATCTGTCTTTAACAAAGGCCCCAAAACAATACCTCTCCATAGAAGAAAAAAATACAAGGCCTCCTCTCCAATCTATACTATGAATTAATCATTTACATCTCTGCAATCTGTTTTTAAATCATACAAATGATAAAGTTCTGTGTACTGAAGGGAGCTCTGAAAGCAAAAGCTGTCTGGATTCAAAGACTCCTCACATTATCTTTGTTGAGTGGTTTGGGGTTTTTTAAAACTTTTCTAAAGCTTTTAACCTGTGCCACAATTTAATAATGACTATTTAATAATTATAATATTCCCTTATTAGCTGGGTATTTAATTTTCCTTGCCCGATAGCACCCTGTAGCTGAAGACAAGGAAATCTCTTTGTTGAGTAGTTATTTAAGACCAGCAACAATAACTAGGCTGGAAAGAAAGGTACTTTGAGAGGATTACACGGGGCTAGTTCTCAACAGCACCAAGCCGAGAGCAGCAAATTACAAACCCAAGTACTTCATTGCATGTAACCAAATTGGCTGGTTGAAATGCTAATTGCTTTTCAGCAAAGCTAAAGACAGACAGAGGACCTTGTGCTTCAGAGAATGACACACATTTTTTACCCCACTTCTGCACCATTGTCTCGCTGAGAATTATTCAAAATCTATTCATAAAGGTAGTTCTTTCCCTAACCTTTAAAAATGTGGGAAATTTCTACCGCTCGCCTCTGACCAGTACCTCAGATCTGTTGGTGTGCCAAACCCATAACAGATGGCTGAATTAAGAGCATGTTAAATCCCTAATAAAGTAAAGCTTGAAACAGTTCAAAGCCCCAAATATATAGGATGAGGCCTGGAGAAGTGACGGGGGAAAGAAATAGCTTCTTTTGCTAGCAAATAAAGAATGCAAACCCTGATTTACATAACTGTACTTTAACTTGGAAAAATACAACTGACACAATATCAAAATATCTTAACATATAAAGAGATAATACTATGGCATTTTAGAGGGAATTTTCTTGTCAACATATTGAAAAATCCACTATCACAAAATTCAAAATGTGTATAGACCGTGCGTTTCATTGTATTTCATTTTGCCAGATAAATTCAAGTATTCAATCAGCTTCTTGCCTGTTTAAATCAACACTTGTTATTTATAACAAATTGCAACATTTGGTGAGTTATAAAACAATTTTAATAGTTTTCAAGAAAATATTAATAAGTCAAGCAATGAGTCAGCATTTAGGGTTGTGGGTTTGTTTTAGTTTTTTTTTTAAGATTTGAAACACTGTAGCATCTCTAGTTTTCAGCCTCTTGCTATAGCCATTTAACAATTCCTACTGATCCCATGAGCCGAATCCTGCAAAATCTCATTCATGCACAAAGTCTTTACTCAATTTCAATAGAACTACTTGCTTGAGTCAGGACTTCTTGTGTGAGTAAGACTTTACAGGAAGAGGCTCATTCATTAGTCAACTGTAGTTTTCAAAGTGAAAAGGTAACAATGTCCCACCTGGATTAGGTTGTATAACATACCAGTTATTCACCATGTCAATCTCTTTCCCTCAAAAAACTAACATACTTCTCTTGATAAAATGTGAACTTTCTCTGAATTGCTGGAACTCCACTGAATATCTGAAATTCACAGCATCAGATCTATAAACATGAATTTGACAATGAGGGTGTTATGCATAGCAAGCAATGCTTAACTGTGCTTTTTTGGATGGGAGAAGTATTCTGTCCAACAGTGGTTATAATCTAAGGCTCTGATCCCGCAAAGACTTAAGTACATGTGTAACTTTATGCAAGTGAATAGTACCACTGCAGTCAATAGGAATACTCATGTGTGTAACATGATGCATGAGCTTAAGTCTATGCAGGTTCAGGGCCTAGTACAATGTGTATGAAGAGTTTTCACGTAATAATTCATACTTGCTCCCTCCTAATTATATTTAGGATGTAATATTCTTTATATTTCTTAAAGGACAATTTATACAGTGACAGTAATACTAAGAACACATTGTAAAAGGGCACTCAGTAAGAGCAAATAAGAGAGAGAAGTGTTATCCAGCAATAAAATGAAGTTAAATTATCTTAGACATTCTATTTTATATAATAGCAAGAATCCAATGGAGAGCACATAGTTTGTTAATACCTATAAAACCATGTTAGGCTAAGAGATCTTCACAAGTACTCAAGACAAGTTTAGTAGGTCCATCTCTATTGAACTTTTTCAATAGACATTTCAAAAGACATTTTCAATTACAGCTTTCATTTTAAAATGTTAAGTATTTTATTAAAATTATATTCACGTTAGGTATCAAATATTTCAAAATACAATACATAAGCAATAATAATTCAGTATTAATCTCTTCTTTACCCACGTTCTAATTTCTGACAATAGTGGAAGTAGAGTACCACTCCAAAAGGTGATTTTTTGCATTATCAATACATTTTCTCAAAATTACCATAATTGGTTACAGCTTATGGCCCAAATCCTATAGAAATATACATATGTCAGTAACTTTACTAATATTAGTAATTCCATTAATATCTATGAACCAGATTCTGCAGCACTTCTGTACTTGATTAACTTTACTCATGCAAGTTGCTCCATTGTAGTAACTTGTGCTACTCACATAAGTAAAGGACAGCACATGTGTAAGTGTTTGCAAGATCAAGCCCTCTGTAACTACTTGTGTGAGTAAAGTTACTCAAGTGTGTAAGCATTTACAGGATTGAGTCCTATATCTGAGAGGGTTTTTTAATGGAAACCTATGAGCCTCTCAAGCAAATAAACTAGACCCTCACTATTTTAAATAAAATGATGCTATGCCTGTCATATAGCTTTAAACCTTTCCTATATTTGGCTCAGACTTCTAATTTTTAAAAAAGCACAAAATGTTAATAATAAAAGGACACATTTTAGGCCTGATTCTGAAACCTTTATTCCACTAAAGCTCCCCACCATTTCAATGGGTGTTTTATCTGCATTAGGATTTCAGGATCAAGTTCATATATTTGCTGGCAGTTCTTCAATATCCAAAATATATTATTTTTGAGCCCTCATTATTTTGCTAGCCCAAAGAAAAAGTCCAGCCCTAATCCCAGAAAGCTAATGGCAGTTTTCCCATTGATTTCAGTATGAACAGGATCCAACTCCCAAACCAAAGGTGATAAGCCTGCACTTTTGATACCAGTATGCTCACTCAGATGTAAACTAACTATGATGTCATTGATTTCTTGACTTTGTGTTTAAATAGCATTAAGATTAAGAAACAAATGTCTTAATTTTCCTGGCTTTTGACTAATACTTCGTCCTGAAGTCATGACATGGTTTAAAAAATACTTGTATGGAATGTTAGTTTTATCTTTAAATTTCCTGATAGCTGGACATTTTCAGTTGCATCCTTAATATTATTTAAACCCTCCTAATCCCCCTCTCCCCAAATGGCCCTCAGTGTGCATGTAAATACTGAGTACATTTTTGTGGGATAGGTTATTTTAGTTTAAAATATGGGTAATCTATTTTCTGGATGTATGTATCTTTGGTTATTACACTGTACTAATGCATAAGTTTTCTTCTAAATGCCTATCATTTAACTGATAGAATAGTTCCAAGTAGATATGTATTTATAACGTGTGCACAATGTATATTAGAAGCACAACGCACACTTTTGGATGCTGTCCAAATAGTGTATCACAATAATAATTTGCATGCCACACCAAATCTATCTATATTGTAAATCTACTAGAGACACATTTAAAAAACCCTAGTGAAGGTCTGGCATGTAGTTCCTATTAAATTTGAACTACAGTTTATCTGGTTTAGCCAGAGTGGGTTCTACAATAATTCATACAAAATGAATACATCAAAAAGCTGTAGAAGGGTAACCTTTTTAAACACCCAAGCTATTCCATTTTCATTTATTTTGTTATTATTTGCAAATTAATTCTATCATGGGATGCTCGTTGGCCAAGTTTTATTCCCCCCCCACACACACACACACACCCGCTTTGTTTTGCTGAGCTGTACACAGTGCAAACAAATATGGGAGAAGTTCCCCCAGTCTGTTTTGATTTTATTCTCACTCCTTTGAAAATAGTCAAACTGATGTTTTGTTGCGTAGTTTTCAGGGTATTGGAAGCGCAGTGTCTGCTGCTCTAGCCCAGTGAAGAGAAAGAGGAGCCGCTCGCCAGGACACTTAGACACCTCAGCAGACTATATTCCCCAGCAGCCATGCAGGGCGAGCTCCAAGCCCAGCTCTGTCCGCAGCCAGAAAGCCTCTCCCTGCGGCAACAGGTGCTGCTGGCACCACTCTAGAGCTAGCAGGGGGGAGCTTTGCCGCTGAGGCAGGATGCTCCAAATGCAAGGCCCGCCCTCCCCCTGGGAAGAGACGGGCAACAAACCTACCTAGACCCGGGGACATGGGCATCCGCGTCCTGTGGACTCCGCCAGCCGCCCGCGCACTCGCTGCCGCTCGCACATTATGCATGCTCCCGGCTCCTACTCCTCCCTCCTCTCCGCGCTGCGTCCGGCACTCCCCGCCCTCCCGCTGCCTCCCCACCCCCTGGGAGGACGGAGCCTTGTCCCCGCCAATAGTCCCTGCCCTATTCCAGCTTCAACAGAACCAGCCCCTTCAGCGCCCGGCGTAGCTGCCCACAGGGATGCAAGGAAGTGGGCCAGGCCATTGTTCCACATAGATAAACAAGAACTCGGTTGTTTTCCCTGGAGGCGGCAAGGGCAACGCGGGGTCTACCTGTGTCCAGCCACGTTTGGGCTCCAAGCCCTCAACTTGTACCATCAATGAGTACAGGGGCTGCTCCTGCACCCACATAAATAAATCTGCACCTTGATGCTTCCTGGTGCAGCAGCGTCCCACAAACCTGGATCCTGCTAGGTCCCACACTTTTTGGCTGCATCACACATAGGCCACTGCCTAAACAGAGAACAAGCATAGCCATCTCTACATCACCAAGTGCTTCCTGACCAAAAACATGCCTGACACAGGAGTGGGGCAGAAATAAAGGATCTTGCCAAAGTCCCAAACTGTGCACTCCAAATAGTGTAGCATTTCCTACTTCACTAGAAAAAAATCTGGACTCTAATGCATTTCAGACGAATTAGCACTAGGAAAAAAACATTTGGTACCTACCTCCTGATAGATCCTAAAAAAATTAACCCCATTAACTCCAATTTTACTGTCTAATTAAAGAAAAAAATTATTTTTTCCTATTTCACTAAAAAGTCCAAGCCCCCTGTTGCAAACTGGGACAGAGTACCACAAAAACATGTATCCAACATATGAATCCTGCTGCGTCCAAGCTAGTTTCCCCCCCTCCCTCCATCAGAAAACTTCTACCAACTAGACAGAGAATTGCAGCTGCTCTAATACCAGCGCAAAAATCCAGACCCACAATGCATCCTTTCTCTACTGCACAGCAAAAACACATAGCCATCACCTGGGAGCTGCTGGATTCTGCCATTTTTTGGCATGAAGTCCTGAGATTGCTTCAGCAAAATAAACGTATTACCACTCCTCACAGACTAGAAAAACCTAGATTCTGACACATTCTGGTGTAAAAGCAGTGCAAAAACACATATCTGATGTAAGTTTTGCCAGATACAGCAATCTTTTAATTCGTAAACTGCTAAATTGATAGCGACGTTCTCCTAGTCCACTATATAACTCTGGTCTATATACATAGGTAGGGCCTACCCAATTCACAGTCCATTTGGTCAATTTCACGGTCATAGGATTTTAAAACTAGTAAATTTCATGATTTCAACTATTTAAATCTGAAATTTCACAGTGTCATAATTGTAGTAGTCCTGACCCAAAAAGAAACTGGGAGTTGCAAAGTTTTTGTAGAGGTGGTTGTGGTACTGCTACCCTTACTTCTGTGCTGCTGCTGGCAGCGGCGCTGCCTTCAGAGCTGAGCCGCTGGAGAGCGGCGGCTGCTGGCTGGGAGCCCAGCTCTGAAGGGAGAACTGCCACCAGCAGCAGCGCAGAAGTAAGGATGGCATGGTGTGGTATTACCACCCTTACTTCTGCACTGCTGCCTACAAAGCTGGGCCCTCAGTCAGCAGCCGCCGCTCTCTGTCCACTCAGCTCTGAAGGCAGCCACGCAGAAGTAAGGGTAGCATGCTGTTGCCACCCTTACTTCTGCACTGCTGCTGGCGGGGGGGCTGCCTTCAGAGATGGGCAGCCGGAGAGAGGCGGTTGTTGACCGTCGCCCAGCTCTGAAGGCAGTGCCCTGCCAGCAGCAGCACAGAAGTAAGGGTTTCAACTCTGCAACCCCCTCAAAAAATAACCTTTGACAACCCTGCAACTCCCTTTTGTGTCAGGACCCCCAATTTGAAAAACACTAGTCTCCCCCATGAAATCTACATAGTATAGAGTAAAAGCACATAAAAGACCATATTTAATTTGGGGAGACCAGATTTCATGGTCCATGGCACATTTTTCATGGCCAGAAATTTTGTAGGGCCCTATACATAGGCACACAAGCACTTGGGGAAAAAAATCCAAATATGTCTCTGGAGCCAGCAAGATCTAGGCCTTTTTTTTTTTTTGCCTAGATCCTCTCAGTTTTACCTTATAGTATAGCTATCCTTTTATATCAGAAAGAGGGCTGAAAGAAGTATTAAGGGGCAAATACTGAAGTTAATGAGAGTCTGGACTGAGTGAAAACTAGAGAGGGACTTCAGCCACAACATCAAGATCCACATTTCAAACTCCCAAGCTCCAAGAGAGTACAGATCTGGTTGGTTTTTTTTGCTAGGGTGTGGTTGTTTGTTTGTTTGTGTAAGCAGAGTCTGAATGAGCTCTCCCCTGACATCTAGTGGGTGAGCTGTGGAAAAGGACTTCAGGAGCTGATTTCGTTTGCATGGACACACCCACCTTGCCTAGGTGCTCAGCATGATGGGATTGCTGGCCCAAATGATCACTTGTGGCTGGTGTTGGGTCCCCAGTCTCCTTGTTATTAGGGCAGGAGTAAGAAAGGGTTGTTATCCCTGTTGTGTGGATTTAGGGCAGCAGAACTGTAACTGGCATACCGCGATGGAGGGACTCTCCCTCAATTTAATGGCACTCGCTAGGCCAGGGACAAGGGTTCCAAAGCCCACTGACTTGAGAAAGGGTGATGTGGATTGTGTTTAAAGGTTTTAGACATCATTTGATCCTTCTTTTCTCCATGGTATAATAAAAGAACTAATTTAGACTCAATTGAGAGTCTTATTACATACTGCAGAGCTGAAATTGCTGATGTTGAGGTATTAAACCTAGTTTGCGATGGTGTCTCTATCGCAAGAGACTGCCCACTGTGCACTAGGAGTGAGGCTCCCCAACTAACAGCTGAAATCACTGAAAGCTGTGTTAAGTGGTGGGCCCTGAAGACATCTCGGCAAGTGGCCAGCCACGTGGCTGGAGCAGACGTGCAGCTGGCAGAGGGGCATGGCAAGTGGCCAGCACGGTGGCTGGTGGAGAGGGCTAGAGTAGAGCCTCGCTGAGAGGCGTGGCAATCGTCTGGCAGGGCGATGAGCAAGTGCCCAAGCAGTGGAGCATATAAAGTGCCTCCTTACTGCCTGCTTCCATGCAGCATGGGAGGTGAACTCTGAAGATGAACCTCTGAATTCTGGGGCTGCACTGGCTAAGGACAGCAACTGTGAGCGGGGTGCAGAGAAGGGATGAGCCCATTAAAGGGACTTTTGGGTTGCTGGACTTAAGAACCTGAGGGGAAAAGGACACTGCGCAACTTACTTGCTCATGGTTTATGTTTATGAACCCTAGTTGCGGTGGTTTCCCAAATTAATGCTGAGTTACTTCCCTCCTTTTATTAAAAGTTTTTGCTACACTCAGACTCTATGCTTGCAAGAGAGGAAATATTTCCTCTTAGAGACACCCAGGGGGTGGTGTGTAATTGGCCCAGGTCACTGGGTGGGGGCTCAAACCGGTTTTGTGTTGTATTGTTGAAAAGGAACTCCTAGACACCAAACCCGACCCTTGTTGCCGCTGGCTGCACCTGGCAGAAGGGTTACGTTTGTTTTTGTTTTTAATCCCAGGACTATCTCTATTGCGGGATTTGGCATTAAGGCCTTAATCTTGTACTTATGCATGTGCTTAATTTTAAGTTGATGAGTGATCGCAAACTTAAGAAGGTGCATTCATGTTTGCAGCACTGGGACCTAAGAAGTCAGAATTTCCCTCCCAGTTTGGCATGGCAGATCTGAACTGGGTTATACTCTGAGGAACATGCAGGTGGAAGCACGATAACTAACCCACCACAAAGAGTTGAGAGAATTCTGCCCATAATGTAGCAGAAGCTGAACTAAAGTCTCTGCAAGTTCCCGCAATGCTTAAGGGGAGAACAGTTCTTACATTCATCATTTTTGCTGGCAATTTTCTTGGGAGTTTCACCATTTCAAGGGAGCTCTCCCAATCTTGCTTTTTATTTTGGGTCTGTAGAAAAGGCAACGAATGCTTAACACATATACCACACTTTACATTTTCACTATGCTATACAAACATTAACTCCTTCACTCCTGTAAGGCAAATAAATATTACCATTGTGTCCTCCTATCATTGCTTGTAGTTTTACAATCACATTTTCTTATTTTTTAAAATGTTTTCTCATCTCTGATGCAAGCAGTAGAGGAAATCATAAACTGATCCTGCAAATACATCATGCACATGAGCAGTGCAATTGACTTCAGTTGGGTTCCATGCAAGGGTAGAGTTTATCTGTACACAACAGTATAAGAATATCTTATTATATGCCATAAACTCAAAATCAAGGACAAAAAAAGACGGATGGTTAACAAAAGATCTGACTTAGAGAGGAAGAGAAGGCAGCTAGAAAAATATCCATAACAAAAAAGGGAGAAGGTGATAGCAATGAAAATGAATTAGAAACTAGGAATTATAGAAATTTGATAAGGGAATCAAAAGGACACAAGGAGAAATCTATGCCCAGCACAGTTAAGGACAATAAGAAGCTTTTTGAGTACATTAGGAACAAAAGGATCCCTAACAATGGAATTGGTCTATTCCTAAATGGAAATGGTAAAATTTGCAACAATAATGCAGAAAGGGCAGAAGTATTCAATAAATATTTGTGTTTTGTATTCAGGAAAAAGTCAGATAATGTATTCATATCATGTAACAGTAACTCAGGAGGATGATAAACAGAAGCTACTAAAGTAAACATTTTAAAATCAGAAGGTCTGGATAATTTACACCTAAGAGTTTAAAAGTTCTCGCCAAGGAGATCTCTTGACTCTTAATATTGATTTTCAATAAGCCTTGGAACAGTTAGGAAATTCCAGAGAACTGGAAGAAAGCTACTTTTCTGCCAATATTTAAAAAGGCTAAATGGGATGATCAAGGTAATTATAAGCCTGTCAGCCTGACATTGGCCAATTTAATAAATTCAATTAATAAAGAATTAAAGGAAAGTAATATAATTAATGCCAATCTACTTGGCTAT